TGGGGGGGGGGCAGCTTTTCTAGGGGGCTGGCCGGGGCTGGGATGTGTGTTGCGTGTAGGTTTATAGGTGGCTGGTATTTGCTGCTTCCTGGGGTGGGGGCACGGTCCGATTTCACCCCGGGGGTGATGTGTGGGGTGGTTGCATCTCCCCATCGTGGGCCATCTCGCACCCTTGGGTGCCGGGGGGTGGACGGATGCAGCTGGACCCGGACCCAGGCGGTGCTGGGAGCATCCCTTTGCTCGTGGGTCTCAGCCAGCGCTGGCCGGGACTCTCCACGCCCACCCGCACCCTGGGGCGTGGGTGGCAGGGCAGGGAAGTCCCGTGGGAGCTGGGCACGCATGGCCTTTTCCAGCTGGGACTTTGTTCAGGGGGTGCGGTCGATGCCGGACACCCCAGGGCTCTGTGTTGGATGCCACGATGGCTTTGCATCTCCAGCTTGCACGGAGCAATTTAACAACACGCCACCCCCCAGCCCAGTCCAGGTGAGCCCTTGCTGGGCAGGGGTGTCCAGAGTGCCTGGGGCACCGGGAGGCTCCATCCTGGGGGCTCTATCCCGCCATGGTGCTTCCCCACCATGGAAAGTCTCCGGAGCTCAGGGCTGCCTTCCCCTCCCCTTGCCTCCTGCTCAAAACCATCCTCCAGCAGCTGTGCCGGCCTGGAGAGGAGCTCGCAGGGGGAAATCTCTTCCACCACCCCCCCTCCCCTATTTTGCTCGGGGTGAGCAAGGCTCCGGGTCTTTTCTTCCTGCAGCTGACGGATGGGTTTGATGTATCAAGCTGAAATTCCCCGTCCCGCAGGACACCTCCGTGAGGACTGCGGACCTCCAGGGCTGATGTGCCGCAGGCGCTCACTGCTTGCAATCTGATTTTTTGAGAGCAAAGGGGTCATGTCTTAAAAAACATTTGGGCTATTTTTTTTTGTTTTTTTTTTTTTTTTTCTTCGCGAGCTGCCTTGGGTTTTGGTTATTTATTAACTCCAGAAGTAATGAGCAGCGGGAGAAGCATGCTCGGCTGGAAACCCCGGGGGCCTGCCTCGGTCCTTGAACTTTTCAGGGCTTGGAGGACTTCCAGAGCCAGGTTTTCTGAGGGTGGTCCCCAGCGAGCTGCCTTCAAATCCAACGTCGTGACTCGACTTCTTGAAACCCAGCCAGCGTTTTAACCCTCCTCCTCGCACGGGGAAGGGAGGTGAGGGCTGGGCAGGCTCTTGCTCTTTCCTCCGGGATATTTTCAGCCGGTCCTCGTCTCCGTCACCTAACTGGGTGTCTTCTCCTCCTCCAGTACCTGCTGAAAGCCAGCGAGTCTCAGATGAAGCAGGGACCAGATTTTCTGCAGAGCCTCATCAAGTTTTTCCACGCTCAGCACAAGTAGGTCTTGCCTGGGTCAGGGGGGCTCATCCCCCAGGGTCGGTCATCGCCCCTGGGAGGTCACACGAGGGTCTGGGGGCACCTTCTGCCGTCCCAGCTCCATAGAGCTGTTGGTGAAGGTGTTGGGCAGAGCCCGTCGCCCTCCGGTTGCATCCGGGGAGTTGACACGTGCTTCGTTGGCTTGAGGAGCTGTAAACGTGTCCGTGGGGGCTGGGGGAAGGGGGTTGGCGCAGGATATATCCGATGATTTGGTTTCTGGATAGATTTCCAGGGATGAGTTCAGCCGAGCGGCTCCGCCGTTAGCCGTGGGGCTCGTAACGAGGGTGTTTGGAGCAAGGATTTAACATCCCCTCGCCTTTCCCGTTGCTCCATGAGGCTGGAGTAGCAGCGTGTGGGTGTCGTGTCATCCCCTGCAGCTCTCGAGTGGGGAAACTGAGGCAGGGAGGGGGCAGTCGCGTTGGCCAAGAACATGACCTCAACTGGGGCTGTGATCCAGCCAGATCCCCAGGATCTGGCTTCCAGCAGGGCTGGTCCCCAGTGAGATGAGCTTGCATCGAACAAGAGGCCAATCCTGCATACCAAATATTTGGGGTATCCAAGACCCCATGGGCTGGGCTTGGCCTTTGGTGGGGGTCTCTCCACGTCCTAGCAGCAGGGGAACCACAAAGCAAGAGCAGCTTCCCAGGGGGGTTGCTATGGTCTCCTGCCACGTTTTCTCTAAAAAAACCTCTTTTTTTTTTTTTTTTTTTTTTTCCTTCCCTCCATCCTCCCCATCTGCATCTTAATCACATTAAATAAATGCCCAGTTTCTTCCAAGACGGCTGGAAGGCTGCCCAGAACCTCTACCCCTTCATTGAGAAGCTCGCTGTGTCCCTCCACGCGGTAAGTCCCTCAGCCTGCCATCCAACATCGCTTGGATGTGTCCCCCGAGATGCCACCACCCCCCGCCCCGTGCCAGCCCCTGAGAACGCCCGCATTCAGCGCAGCAGTGAGGGCAGCTGCCCCCCTTTCCAGCTCCACCAAACGCAAGAGGAGGAGGTGAAGCAGCTCACGCAGACCCGCGATTCCCTCCGCAGCATCCTGCAGCTGGAGAGCAAGGAGGTGAGACCCCGGGATGGGCAGGGGAGAGCCGGGAAGGAGGGTCAGGAGGGTGCTGGGTGCTAAGGAGGGGTGAGTGCCCAGGGGTTAGCTTGGGGATGGGGAGCAGCAGGGAAAGGGGAGCTGGGGACCAAAGGGGACATCCGTGGGAGCAGAGCAGGAGACCTGGGAGATGCTCGGAGGCTGGGAGAGGACGGGGGTCTCTGGCACCCCGATGGACACTGCGCCCACATAAGGACGAGGTCACTTGGGGGCAGCAGCCACCTCTGCACCTCTCACTTTGCTTTTTAAATGCTTTTTTTTTCCCCTGGTGAGCTCAGGAAAACCTGAGCAGGAAGAACTCTGGCAGCGGCTACAGCATCCACCAGCACCAAGGGAACAAGCAGTATGGGACGGAGAAGTCGGGATTTCTGTACAAGAAGAGCGATGGGTGAGGATGAGTGTTATTTGCCCGGAGAGCTCCCGGCTCCATCCCAGCGTTGCTGTGAGCTGGGAGAGCGCCGTGCTCATGGGAGGCCGCAGAGCGGGGACATCCCAAGGTGGAACTGTTTGGGTGAGGTTTTTGGTCGCTGTTAGACAGGTCTTCGGGTGCAATCGGTCCCGCCTGGTCTTAAGCATCCATCAATGCTTGGAGAATGGGATTTTTTTTTCCCCAGGCTGGGGGGAGACCTGAGAGCTGGCGGTCAGGGGTTGGTGGGTCTCCAACTGCAGTTGGGGAAGGAGGAGGTTTGGAGGTGGTGCAGGGGACCTTCCCCCACGATGGTTTGGCATCATCGGCCCAGTTCTTACGTGAAGGCCCCCAGTAGGCTCTGATGCCCAGGGTGCTTCTCCTGTGATGCTCTCCTGGGTGGCTGGCTGGGCACAGCGGCTGGTGCTGCGTGGGTGTAGTGTCCTTGGATGTGGGTCTCCAGGAACAGCCGCCCAGTGTCAAGTTCACAGTGAAGAGCTGTGAGCTGTGTGGCTGACGGGAGAGGAAGAAATTCCTTGTTTCTTGGGCGTGGAGGGAGAAAGGATCCTGGTGGGATCATCTAGGGCGAAAAATAAAATCCTCAGAGCCCCAAAGAGGAGGTCTTCACCTTCTCAGTGGACCTCTGGGTGATGGGCACCAGGTTTTGAGCGGGTGGTTATGTGCTTTGCTGAACTGGGGCTACCAGATCTGTGATGCTGTTGGCCAGCACGGCCCGTGGCCAGCCCGCTCAGCGGGACATTTTGTGCGCTGTGAGCTACAGGAAGCACAACCCTTCGTCCAGAAAGCCGTCAGGCCTCCGCCGAGGGCTGCCGTGGGTGGTTTGGGAGGCGGATGGATGTGGGCCATCAGGGCTGTGCGACGCGTCCTCACTCCTCCTCTTCCTCCTCCTCAGGATCCGCAAAGTATGGCAGAAGAGGAAGTGCGGCGTGAAGTATGGCTGTCTGACCATCTCCCACAGCACGGTGAGGAGCAGCGGGGGGCTGCAGCCCTGACCCTTGAGGTCACCCTTTGAGTGCCGGTGTCCGTTGGATTTCACGTTTAGTTTTGCCCAAACTGGTCACAAATTTGCCTGGCTTAAAATTTAGCGCGAGCTGGGACTGGACGTACTAAGTGGGGTCCTCCACGTTTGAGAGGTGTCAAGGGGAGGGGACGGTGGGTTTGGCTGGGGCAGCGAGATGGGCGTTGAGGGTCCAGACAAGGCCAAAGGGGCCGGGGTGTGCTGCCGCCCCCTGGCGGTGGAGGCCCAGAACTGCAACGGGGACAGAGGACGTGGCTCAGGGACGTCTCCGAGCCCCGTTCTCCTGCAAAGGGGCCAAGTTCTCCTGCGCTTGCCTGGTTATCCCAAGAGGGACCATCTGGGGGTGGTGGTTGTCCCACCGGAGTTGCCATCGGAGCTACGTGCTTGGTGATGCACATCCCGCCCCTCCCCAGTCCTTTATCCCGCCTCTTGTCCTCACACCCTGCAGATAAACCGTCCCCCCGTCAAGCTGAACCTCCTCACCTGCCAAGTGCGGCCCCACGCCGAGGAGAAGAAATGCTTCGACCTGGTGACGCGTGAGTGCCGGGAGCGGGATGCCGTGGCTGGGGTGGGTGTGTTTGACCCGGAGGTGGCCAAGCTGCGGATGGGAACTCCCTTTTTGGAGGAGAGCATCCCGAGCGGGTTTTCCCAGCGGCCGGCTGGCCCTCCGCCAGCCCTGCCACGACACCTGGGCACCCTTTGCCCTTTTAATCCGGCTCTGGGCATCTCCCTGGCTGCCTTTACGGAGGAAGGACTGACTTCTCCAAGGAGATCTAGCAAGCTCAAGACAAAAAGAGGTCGCGACAGGGCTTGGGTGATGGATGAGTGGCGTGCAGTGATTTTATTTGGTTTTAAAGTAGCCCCTTTGGAGTACTTTCAGCCCCTTCCTGCGGTCTTGGGCATCCCTGAATCCCCCCCACTCACGTTCTCCCCCCTCTCCCCATCCCTGCAGACAACAGGACGTATCACTTCCAAGCGGAGGACGAGCAGGAGTGCGTTGTGTAAGTGCCGCAGCCCGTCCCCACTCCTTGCGGTGCTGGATCCTCCTCCTCCTCCTCCTCCTCCTCCTCCTGACCTGGGCTCCCCCCCTGCCCAGATGGGTCTCGGTGCTGCAGAACAGCAAGGACGAAGCCCTGAGCAACGCCTTCAAGGGGGAGCCCAACGGCGGCGGGGCGGCG